TGGCGAGAGAGACAAAAGAATTAGATATGATGGCATAGGGAGAAAAGTGACCAAAATACGCATAAAAGGGGGGACATTCGAGAGACATTCCTCAAGAGCTTGAGAGTCGAGACTCCAACAACCGAAGCAGAAGACCCTAGCAGTAAAGTAGGGGTCCAAGAAAAAGAAGAAGAAAAGATAGGAAACGACCTTGACTCCTAAAATAACAAAATCAAAATGTCCAGAAGTGGAGTAACCACCTCGAGTTTGTAGGATCTAGGGTTGAACAAAAACCCTAGGAGAGAGAAGAAAATAAGGGAGTAAGATAGAAAACGTACCTAGTAATTGAGGACAATCAACGATCGAGGACCCAAGAAGGGTGCCAAAAATGAACAGAGCAAGATTTAGGAAGACCTCTGAACGTTTTGAGCACTCACAAAGTCAGGAAGAAGAAGATGATGAAATCGCATAGGGCGGAGAGAGAGAAGAGGGTTTTTGGGTAAAGGCGTCGAGAAATTAGAAATGATGACAAAGACATTTTAGCTTGTGAGGGCATTCAAGGCGTTCGTACGATTGGACACGTGGTACATATAGGCTGAGCGTGCACGACAATCAAGGTAAAAATGACTCCTCGCACGCATGCAACGCTGAAATTACTAAAAAACGTCTCATCGTGCAAACTCTAAGAATACCTTCATCAACAAATCCCTCATTAACGATGACAACGATAGTTGGCACGTTCCAAAAGGCCATGTCACACACTGGGAATGTAACTCGTAATGACCCAACATTCTGGCAGATGAGTCGTAACTGTCTCAACACCATTGATGTTAATTGCTTAAAGAAAGCATCGGCAACGAGAAAGTGGCGAGAATCACGCAAGACATCTAAAGACTATAAAAAGGGATCAAATCCCTCCCAATGTATAAAAGCAATTATCTACACAATTACTCTGTATTACCCTGTGTAACCTTCCCCCCTTTTATTAATAGAAAGACTCTTTAGGAGCAAGAGACTCTATTAGAATTGATTAGTCGAGCTTCCAAGCTGATGAACTACTATAAACCTTCAGACTATTATTTCTCACACTACATTGCTTAAACACCAAGAGTCTAGAAGTTCTGACTGGACATTCCAATGATTCCCAAATCTCTAGAGAACATGCCTTTACTTAGTCGTGTAAAACATCACCACCAATTGTAATAGATCTAAACCAAATAGTAATTACTAGTGTAAAATAATGTTGGTGTAGAGTGGCTGAAACAGAAAAATTGTGACCTAGAGTTTGGAACACTAAACATATCGCACAATCGCTCTTCAATCATTTGAACAACTAATCAAATCTATTGGGGCAAAACTTTTGGAAGCAATAAGGGTAAGTGGTTATTGTTTAGAGGTTGCATGTTGTGTATTTATACTTTTGATTGATTCATGTTCGATGGGAAGTCATAATGCCAAAGTGGGGCCAAATTGAGGGAAAATTGTTTGGGTAAATCATCAATAAATTATATTTTTCCTCCAAAATAACTATTAAGTCATATCATATTTATCTCATGACAATTAAGTTATACATTTGATAATTTATTCTTAATAAGTTCTTTACTCCATCAATATTTTTTTTTTCAATTTGATCATTCCCATCAACACTCCCTTTAATTATCAAAATATCCACTCTATTGACATGTAAGAGTCCATATGTAATTAAATCTTAAATGTTATAAAAGACAATACATAAATATATAAATAATGAATCATTCATATGCAAGTACTAGTTGCTAGAATTAATAGCGACCAACAAGACTATGTAAGTTTGGTTATTGTTACAATGAGTTTTAGTGTTTATTGATGGACCATTCTCCTTGGGGTTTCTAGCTTCTTTTTGTATCATCTCATCCATTATTTTTGTTAACTTGAATTAAATTGGATTTTGATATTTCAAATTGTAGTGTTAAATTAGGGTATGAACTTTGAAATCCTAATATTAAAAATTGGAATTAGAATGTAACAATTATAAATTAAGTTTCAAATGATTTTTAATTTAATTTACCATATATTGGAATCAGTCTATTATGAATTATATTTTTAACATAATTATTTGGATTGACTCGACTTCAACAATTTTTTTGTTTAGTGTAGATGTGGCAATTATGATCCATACACATGAATTAATGGGTTTAGGATTAATTATAAATTGCACTCTAAATATCATTCAAATATTAATTTACAATATTAAAGATTAAAAGTTTTAATTTGCCCCTTCAAAGATAAAAATTTGCATAAAGACGCACCTGAAATTAACATCCGTCAATTTGTCATCTAGAACTAAATGAATAAATTATATCTAGATCTCATCATACTTGTCACTTAATTATTTGGACCCCTCATATTTAGAATATTAGTTCTACACCTCCTGATGTTTATAGACGTGAAACACATAACTCCTTATCGTTGATATCTGTTAATATAATAATTAAAAAATATGATTTCATCCTAATAAAAATATATAATTTTATACTACCCTTTATTTTATGGGACTGTTATACTCCAAAATTAAAAATTAAGTTTACAATTTGATTGTCCAATATAATGTTCTTTATATCCAATGAAATACATCACATAAATATAATTATTTAAATATTCAATTGGAAAAATATTTTTAGTTATATTTAAATTCTCAAGGATATAGGTGTAATATTTTAAATATAAAAAATTTATGCGATTAAGTGACAAACTCAAGGGGTCTATAAATTGAGCGTCAAACAGAGTGTAATTTGAGATTAACCATTTTTATTAATATGATATACAAACGGATTAGGTATAATTATGAGTTAAAATGGGCCTTCCTAAAAGCGTAATACACATATAACGCCTCGGCCCCTCGTCGCCTAGTCGGTCATGAAAGAGAGCAAAACGAGTTTCTCTCTCACTTCACTCCCACCCCTCTCTCCTTTTGCTGTTTTGGCTGGGTTTTGAAAAGACATCTCCGACCTGAAATTTCACATTGAATCTCTCATATCCGCACCATTCGTTCTTCCAGAAGTGAGCCCCCTTCGACTATTGATTGAAATTTCCAAAAACATAGTATCGGTACATCGTATTCCCCACTTTTTTTTTTCTTGTTCTATCTTAGCATTACCTTTATTTTTCTTTTAAACTGAAGGTTGTGCTAGTTGATTTGCATTAGTTTGGGTAAAAGACCAGTTTTGACAATTTTTAAACAATACAATTTTGCACACGAGATTTGTTGGGCATTGACTTGCATGATTGCAAAGGCTTACCCGACCTTTCATATAAGGCATACCCAAGTTTTTGACCCTTTGCCCACAAGGTGTTCGATGAAATGCCCAAAAGCTATAATAAAATTTGTCTTTCTTGGTTCTAATGCAGTAGTCTAGTTTTTTAAGTATTAATTTGTTATATTTGCTTATTTAGAAGTCTTTGTCACATGGTAGTTTAGTTACATGTAGTTACAACTTACAAGTGGACTTTTTTTTATTAGTAGTAGCTTAGGTCTTGAAGTCTTATTTATTGATATCAATGTACTGTAGCAGTATTTTTTGTTACTCCAGACCATCCTACACATGGAATTAGTTTTTAGATTAGCATTTAATAGTTGTTAGTTATTGCCATTTTTTTGGCATGAAGGTAATTTTTTTTGGAATTAGCATCCTCTAGTTATTCTAAATATTTAGTGACATGTATTGTGATGATTGATTCATGGTTCGAAACTGTCAGGATTTACTTTTTAGAATGCTTTATTATATATTGTTTTATGCATATTTTTTGTGGGTGTAGATTTGTATTTGGGTCCAATTGAGAAGTAATATTGAGGTCTCCATGTCTTCAACGGATAATTTAAGGGAATATAATGTTAATTATGGTATCGAAGGGGAATTGATGTGAAGTATAAAACTTTTTTTGGTGTACATATTTCATATTTGAGAGTTGGAGTTATTTAGTTATTAAATAAGTAGAATTAGAATTTACCTCAAGAAGAGGAATATCATTTTGTTTGATGTTGTGATAAGAATTTGGTGCAATCGTGACAGACAATTTGTGTAAATGGAGTAGGATAAAAGAACCATATCACGGGAACCATATCCCATGATTGGGTTTCTCTCAACCTACTCTTAGATCAATCATTGCATACAAATTGGAACTATATCCCATGATTGGGTCTCTCAACCTTCTTTTAGATTTATCATTGCATGCAAATTGTAATGACCTTGCCATCAGTTAGAGATTGATCATAACATTATGATCAATTTCTACAAAATTCTGATATGTCGTATTTGATTGATTATATCCCCTTAACCGCAACTAGTCATTACTCAATTTTATTGTATCAATGTAATTCAAATAGAATTACAGTTGGTTTTTTTCTACAAAATTTTGTTCTGTCGTATTTGATTGATTATATCACCTTAACTGCAACTAGTGATTAATCAATTTTATTGTATCAATGTAATTCAAATAGAATTACAGTTGGTTTGGATATTAGTATATCCACATTTGATTAGGGAAAAATAATACATGTGGATTCAAACAATTAATCAAAAGTACATATATGTATCCAATTAAACAAATTCAAATTCAAATTTTAACCATTGAGCCTACTAAGAAGGGTCACTGCAAGGGTATAAATGCAATTAATCAATTTTAAAAAGTTGCATTTGTTTGGTGAATTGTTTGTGTAGGAAGACTAAGATATGCATTAATCAGTTTTATTTTTGTTCAATTATGTTAATTATTCTAGGAGAAAATTTAAAGACGGTTTAGCCATGGTAGTGAGGGATAATCGTATCATGTTAGTGTCAACACACATAATCGTGGACTAAACACAGAACTTGGAGGCTTTTCTTTTGAGCCAAATCCATCACTAATAGGCTCTTTATAAGCTAAAAATTCATTTGATCCGGTTTCTAATAAAACTGAGAAAAAAACCTATGTTTTACAATGATTCACATAAAACAGGCCAAAAAAAAAACAAGAAACTGAAATAATGTGTGTATTTTGGTATGTCTTTTAAGAGTTTTAATTATTTTATGGGTTAATGGGTTTAACCCAACCCATTATAACCCATTTAATATGTGAGTTGAAAATGAATTGGATTTATTTTGGACTCAATCCAATTTAACTCGGCCCATAACCAACCAATACACCCATTTGCCACCTCTACTTCAAGGGATGAGCCCAATCCTCATCTAATTGAAGACGCTCATCATGTAAAAAAGCTCCGACATTGATAGCAAAAACATCAGACAACAGTCAGTCGAGGGTACAATGTTTTATTTATTTATTTATTATTTTTTTGGGGGGTTCTTATCGAACTCAGAAGAGTGAGAGTATAAGCGATTTTGACATCTCCACCCCGTATCTCAATTAGCTTGCCAATCGTTTCAAAGAATATCGAATTGAGACTTTTTTTGTTATGATTTTAGACTTGCTTATTATTTAGTTAGTATTGATTCCCCTCCCTTGTCACTTACTCATCTTTTTATATATCTAGTTGTGTCTGGTAAGGTTTGTTACGTGTGAAAGTTCTGTTGATTAAATAATATATATCCTACTTTGTGACTATACCACCTTGTAAGTTTGGGCAGGCTCGTTTATTTTCCAAATCCACATATTTGAATATCAATTTTTTTTTTGTTTTTGATTCTAATATCTCCCCCTTGTATGTTCATTTGAATGTTTAAGTGTAACATACACAAGTGACTTTCTATACATTCTGTCTGTCGTTGGTTAAGTGTATCATACATAAGTGACTTTCTATACATTCTCTGGCTAGCTTTCCTTGGAGATTTTCACTTTCTTTACGCGTTAGGATTAGGGGACAGCTCAGATAGGGTTCCTTGGAGCGCCGTTTGGTTCAGGAGGGCCCTTTTAAACGTTCTTTTATTTACTTGCACTGCCTGGTGGGAAGCTTTTTTCACCATTGACAATAGTAAAAGAAGAGTAACTTCATTGTCAATCGGTGTTGGATGTCTAGAAATGCCGAGGAGTCAGCAAACATTTGATGATAGTCTTAGAAGTGGCTAGAGAGTTACTGGGTACATAGCTTATTTGGTTCATATGATAGGGATTATACCGAAGTCAGGCTAGAGATGCTTCACAGATGGAGGGGTCTTCTGTAAGAAGGTGCTCCCACGAAAGGTGGGATACGACCCTGATATGTTTGTTTTGATCTATCATAGGGAAAAGAATTGGAGATCGGGATCCTATAATCTTGAGTTGTCTCTAATTGAATTTATACTGGACCTACATATACTCGTGTTGACCTCTTAGATAATTTATTGCTAGGAGCTTAGTTGTAGTTATTTCTTGCTTCTTGGAAGCGCCTTTTGTGCAAAAATGGGTTTTTCAGTGAAATACACTTATTTATGCAAAAATTAGCGAAAATAGATTACACAACATTTAATCTTTTGCTGCATCAACACATTCTATGTTCTTATCCAAAATTTTCTAAAAGTGAGGGTTACTGATGAAATTTTGCCACCATAAAACTTCCAAATAAAGGGAAAAATGCCGTAATAATGCTCTCTCAAACAAAAGTTGGAATGGACATGATAACTAGCAGTAGGTCCTGAGTAACATAGACATAAGATTTTCTCATAAAGGATGCAAAAGGAGACAAACAGTAACTCCTCCCTTTAATTTCAAAACCCTATGAATCAGTTCATATTCATTGGAAATGGCTGAAAGATGATACTTCCTTTAAACTAGGCAGTAGTCTATGTGTATGCTTATGCATTTGTATATAACCTGTCTTGTAACATATAATAAAGTTAATGAACGGTACAAATCGGCGATACACTTAATTTTATGAGCAAAATGTATCATGTTGGATGTATCAAATCAAGAATAGTAAGATGCCAACAACTATTTCGTAGATTGATTTATTCATCCACAAACTGTAAGATTTGTAAAAAAAAAATCTGATTGATCCTTCAAACTTCATGCTTTCAATTTATTTCAATTTTGAAAAAGCTATGATGACTATTAGATGGATTGATTTACTCATCGCTGAACTATTATTTTGGACAAAAAAATCTGATTGACAATTGAAAATTTGTGCTTTCAATTTTTTCCTTAATTGCAATTGAGCAATGTATTCCTGAATTCAAAGTTTCAGGTTTCCAGATTGCAAATCTATATTATTCTGAACCTATATCCCAACATTCGAATAATGTAAATTAATGCACCATGATGTAATTTCTCAAGCCCTAAATTATACATTACCAATTTAGTAAGTTTCTGTTTGGGAACATATAACCCGCCAAGTAAGTGACAGTAGACAACATAGCTTTATTTTGAGTTTATCTGCTCATTCAGCATGGAGTGTTGCCTTGCTTTAAATTTGGGACGCCTCGAAATTACCACATTATATCCCTCTTATTATTTTGCTTTGATTTAAGCATCAGGTGAAACATAATTGCCTATGGATACTGGAGGCAATTCTCTTCCATCTGGATCCGATGGCGTGAAGAGAAAAGTGTGTTATTTTTATGATCCAGAGGTTGGCAATTATTACTATGGGCAGGGTCACCCTATGAAGCCTCACAGGATTCGAATGACACATGCTCTTCTTGCACATTACGGATTACTTCAACACATGCAGATCCTCAAGCCTTTTCCCGCAAGGGATAGAGATCTTTGCCGGTTTCATGCCGATGATTATGTGGCATTTCTGAGAAGTATCACCCCTGAAACTCAGCAAGATCAGCTGAGGCAACTCAAGCGATTCAATGTTGGTGAAGACTGCCCCGTGTTTGATGGTCTCTACTCTTTCTGTCAAACTTATGCTGGTGGGTCAGTTGGTGGTGCAGTTAAGTTAAATCACGGTCTCTCTGACATTGCTATAAACTGGGCTGGTGGGTTGCACCACGCTAAGAAGTGTGAAGCATCTGGATTTTGCTATGTGAATGATATTGTGCTTGCGATCTTGGAACTTCTCAAACAGCATGAGGTTGGTCATGAGCATCTGTTTTTCCAGATCTCTCTCCTCCCCCCCTTTTTCTTTTTCTCTATCATTTTCCATTATTGATTTGATTCACTGGATAGTGTCTACCCATATGGCCATTTCTGATTGCTGTTGTTTTGGGTTGATGTTAGAATGGTTCATGTAATTGTTTCAAATTACTATTTCTTCTCTAAAATGACTAGTCAGGTATATGTTTACCGACATTCAAGTTTTCCGCATGATTAGTGCTATATTTCTTTTTTTGTGTGCGTATATTTTTTAGCAGGTAATCTATAATTTGAGGTTGTCAAGTGAACACCTTTTGTAATATGGGAAGAGTTGTTATTGTTCAATATCTGATAGAGCTGTTTAGAGTTTGGATCCACTCCAATCTGTTTCTCTCTGGACTTTTTGGTACTATGACTTGTCGTGGAGCCACAATTGTAGGGGAGTTAACTCACTAGAGGTTTGGAGAACAACTTGTCCATTATGCTTATGAGTTATGACCTCATTCACTTGGGCTACAGTATTTCCTTTCATATGATTCCAATGAATAGACTAATATACAATAGTCCGCCTTTAGGGCTCTGCCATGAAAAAGAGTAGGCCTGTGGAAAAATCATGTAATCATGTATTTTTTGTTTTATCTTTTCTTTCTCAATATTTGTGTTTCATGTATTTCGTTCTATCCTTCACCATCGCCAATGTTGAATGCTGTTAATTGTAAGAAGATTCTCTATGTGGTCAACTCCAACTGATAGGGAGATGGCTGCGATTGAGATGAGTGGGTGAGCAATGAGCTTCACATCTCCTTTATATCATTTAGTGAAGTGTATCTATTTACAGGACCTCTGGAAGAATCCGAAAAGACAATTTTACTTACTATCACATTTTGTTGTAGGGGTGTGCCTATATTACTAGAAGCATATAAGGTTATTGTTTTGTTTATGCAATTGAGAAGCCTTTGTATGGCACCAGTACATAACTAGGTGGTTTGTCTTGCAGCGTGTTTTATATGTGGACATTGACATTCATCATGGAGATGGTGTAGAGGAGGCTTTTTACACAACCGATAGGGTCATGACTGTTTCTTTCCATAAATTTGGAGATTATTTTCCTGGTACTGGGGACATACGTGATATAGGATATGAAAAAGGGAAATACTACTCCCTCAATGTTCCGCTAGATGATGGGATAGATGATGAGAGCTACCACTTTTTGTTCAAGCCAATCATTGGGAAAGTGATGGAAGTTTTCAGGCCTGGTGCCGTAGTTCTGCAGTGTGGTGCTGATTCCTTATCTGGGGACCGGTTAGGATGCTTCAATCTCTCAATAAAAGGTCACGCACAGTGTGTCACATATATGAGATCTTTCAATGTGCCACTGTTGCTGTTGGGTGGTGGTGGTTATACTATCAGGAATGTTGCCCGTTGTTGGTGTTATGAGGTAGAATATTTATTTCTATGATGCTCACTTGAATTGTTGACAAATCCCCTGACTGTGCTTCGAATGTTACCTTCAACTCTTGCCTCTTGCTGCGTGAGACATGTGGTTCGGTGGTTTATGGCCTCACATGACACATAAAAGCTATCATCTAGCTCAAATTTCTTGAAAATAACTAATATAGATGGATGTGCAAATATTATATTGTTTTCATTGTTGATAACAAGCTTCATGTTTTGGCTAAGACCTCATTAGCATTCATTCCCGAACTTGGATATCTTGTGGCTTGCTGCGCTGAGATATCTGTTGACAGGTTCCCCGTCATGGTTATCTTACCCATACTTACTTCTAACTGAAAAGCATAAATTTTGAAAAATTGAATGGAGAATATTGGGCACAGTTTAGTCATTAATTTTCCTCTACTTCAAACTTGCCTACTTCTATTTTCGAAGGAGTTGTTCAGAAATCAGGATTTTTTAAGTGTTTGGTGTACATCATGACATCTATCCTCCTACATTTGAAGTTGCAATTTTTGTGCCATTGCGGACTTGCAGTGGATATCTCCTCATTCACATCTTTGTAACCAATAGTGTAGGGACACATGTTTATGGTTCACATTTCTGCCTTTGAAATAAGTCTTTTGTTAGACTTGTTTTAATATGTCAGTTATATGTGAAACAGACAGGGGTTGCGCTTGGAATTGAAGTTGATAACAAGATGCCTCAGCATGAATATTATGAGTATTTTGGTCCAGACTACACTCTTCATGTTGCCCCCAGCAACATGGAGAACAAGAATTCTCGCCACTTATTGGAAGAAATAAGGGCTAAGCTTCTTGATAATCTCTCGAAGCTTCGTCATGCACCCAGCGTTCAACTTCAGGAAAGGCCACCGGATACTGAGCTCCCTGAGGTTTGTTTCTATTTACATTCTTTTAATCAATATGGTTACCCTGTGCTAGTCACCTCTTCAATGTTATTGTATATATTTTTTTCCGATTCTTGTCGGAGCATAACATTTTACCTAGGATAAAAGAAAATGATCTTGAATTGGACTGTTAAAGTATTTTGATGTCTGTTTAGAAATAACTGCCATTTGTTGTGTAGGAAGACTCTTTTTCTAAGTAGATTTTAGCCTTTAGAATTGAGTAGGCATAATAATCTTTTTGTGAAAATAGTGAAGCTGTACATTCCCTGTTGGATTGCACAAGTATTGAATTTTCACCTTGGAAATCGTATTACTTTTCTCTTAACTTTTCTATAGTCCTTTGTTTATTTTGTTCTCTACAAGCTAGTTATATGGTGATTTAATCGTTGAATGTGTTCTATCACTATTATATATGCGCCTTTGTTCCTTTTTTGTTTTGGTTGGGAAAATTAGGTCATTAGCACAATAATTCTGTTTCTGGTATTATTGTGCTAATGTTTATGCATTAGAACACATTCAACTTAACAGTTTCACAGTCTGAATCATGGTGTTTTTGGTCTGCCAACATTATTGCCAAGATATTAATGATACGCAAGGATAACTGGCAGCCCACCATCAGATTTTCACATTATCCGTTGTTCTTATTAGTTTTAGAAGTGCTATTGATATCTTTCATGTAACGCCCTGATTTCCCAGATGCGTTACTTGATAAATTGATTGACCACAATATACCACAAACATATCTCCAAATAGTTGGGCTAGAGCTTTAATCACTCAAAAATAAATAATCTCAACAATATACAAATAAATCTATTCAAACTATATATCACCACTATAACCAAAAGTTATAAATCTTTAATTCTCTGATACCTCTGGTCCTTCTTCCGAGCTTATCCTGAAAAATATTAAAAGCGGGGAAGTATAAAATATGACAATAAACAATGTGCTTAACGATAAAAATATGAAAGATTAAATAGCAAATAACTCCTATGATAGGAATCACGAACTGAGGAATCATCAATCAAAAAAGACATACCACATCGCTCAACTTTGCTTGGCCTCCAAGGCCCTTTGTCACCCATCCTATGTAAGTGTGCTTACTTCGTGAACTCTTGTCCATGTATGCTTTTTTATTTTATAAAACTATAACACTTGTCATGTTCCTTTTTGTGTCCCCCTTTTTTTTTTTGTGACACTTGTCCATCTAGGAGTCTATATATATATTGCGTATGACACACATTACACACCTATGTTACCATTCGGAATCGGATACTTTAGATATTTGTCAAACATAATCAATTTTATAGTCATTTGACTCATTTCCACACGGGGAACCCATATTTGAGGTTCATTTGTTTATTTTAAATTTATAAAAATAAACTTTGATAATATAGAATCATAGTTATCTTTCTAATTAATAACCAGGTTTTCACATTTCACACTTCCCAGTTATTGGTAATTTGTTTGAGTTACTGTTACCGGTAACTGATATATATATAGAAGTTTACTGGTTAACAAGCATTTAATCTAAATGTTATTTTAGGTCACATGGAAGTTGTGTTACTTTGTTTTTTGATAAAAAACAATCATTTTAGTAATGAATAAAATGAGTTTAGCACTATTCTTTTGGGCTAGATTCCTTGTTCACCTTTTGCCATTTTTTAAACATCATCCTAATACTGTCAATACAATCCGCAAGATGCATTCCAACTTGCCTTGATGCAAAACAATGGAACATTCTCAAGGTCTTTGGCCACAAAAGACCAAAGTGAGGTTAAGAAATAATTAAGATTCCACAATTTTTCCACCATCTCACTTTTATTCTAAAAAATTATGAAATTTCTTTCCGACCAAATAACACACATTGTAGCAAAAAAACCACGATGCCACTGATGAATATTTAAACAAAACATAGAAGACATGGAACATGGTGCCACCCAATAACTTGTGCCACATAGACGAACAATGGGGTACTGCAAAAATAAATGGTTCACACTTCATTACACCTATGCACATACCAGACCATTGTGGTGGAAAAAAAGTATTAGGTGCTCCTTCTTTGGATCTTATGGGCTCTAAGTACCAAACGAAGTATTGGGCCATTGATAGTGTGAACCATTGATGTAGTGTGAACCATTGATGTGTGAACCATTGATGTAGTGTGAAATGGTCTATTGCTGCAAAAATAAATGGTTCACACTACAAATGCTTTTATTGTACCAAACGAAGCATAAGACTTATGGAATTGATGCTTTCAAGCACTAGACCCTTTTTGAAAAAGGAATTGATAGATGTTGGATCAATAACAATATTTCAGATAGCCACAAATGGGATTGATGCATAGGTTGCAAGGAATGAATGCGCAATAAGGACCAATACACTTCGATGAATGCCTTTCTTTTGAGAAGATGCTTTGAAGGAGAAGGTAAGCAACTGGTATAATTAATGTACGGGGAGGATTCTATCCTATTAGAATGAAGAAGGAATCATCCAAAGCATAAAGTCTACACCATATGGATTCCTATGAAAGAGGGTGCATAGCGGGAAGAGATTGTGCACAAAGAAGAAAAATTTCATTGATTCAAAAGCTATCCATTGGATATGAAAGATATCCTCGAAGAGGATTGATGTCGAGACTAGATTTGAAATTAGGGAAGGTCGAAAGGGCTTTGATGGAATTATCGGTCTAAGCCCAATTGAATCAATAGATTCGGGAGCCCATAGTTGATATGGATCACCAAATACCATAATAAATTTCCATGAAGAATCTCCATAGCCATTTCCCTGTTAGAGACCATTTCCTTGCTAGTAACCGAAAGTCTATTTTTAGTTTTAGGTCCACAGACTTGTTAGAATGGAAGTCCCAAGAATAATTGACAGCGCGTATATATCAAATACAAATTTTTTTTCATTAAAATCCTACAAAGCAGAATTAGGGTTTACCTTCGACTTCAAAATTGCTCTGGATTGATTTCGTCTCAACGCGAACGCAGAATCTAAAGACAGATGTAGAAAATAGCTTGATAAACCTTACGATCTTCTGTCGTACAACCCCTAACGCCAAAATCCAGATGCAGTGTGGGCTGCAAAAACTTTTGAATTTTTGTCCTCTCTCAGCCTCTCTCTAAGCGTGAGTAATAAAGGTGATACTAATTTAGAGAGCCTAGACGTCTATATATAGACTATAACAAAAACCATAAGGAGAAATAAAGATTGGGCTTCCAATGGATCTAGGATTCTAATGTTTAACCCAAAACAAACATCTTGTAGTCCATTAATAATAAGTTAGTCTATTAAAAACTTATTATTGATCACCTGAGTCTTATCTCAAAATTATATTTCGAGCTTTTTATTATTATATGTTTAATAATCTTTCTACATTTAAGATTATAAATGTCCATCAATTAAATAAATTACTAATAATTATATTTAATTAACTTTTTTTATCCCTTGGGGCCTTACCACTCAACTTATTTGTCATGTTGGATAATTAAATTTACCTGCAGAGTTTGACATGAACAAAACTTATGAGCTTCCTCAGGAGGATATCATCAACCTATTTAAATATCAGGATATGACTTCCTTTAATAATTAATTTCAACCATATAAATAATAACGTCTCTCAATTCACCGAGCTTATTGATTCAATATAAATCTCACTTTTTGATGAATTAAAGTGACAATTATTATATGCACGTGACAATTAATATCTCGGGATTAAGAGTATAATCAATCATAATAACTCTGGGGTATTTATTATTTTATTCAATCAGTAAAAGATAAACTCAATATAGGTCTGATCAATATACAAAGTATACTAGTGCAATAATTTGAGATATCAAAAAGTTTCAATAGAAAACCTATCATCATCATTGTTACTTTTCCTGGTATTGTATAGAGGTTGGAAATAAGGAAAATAAAGTTTTCTTCCACCCATCCAACATTTCCCCACCTTTTAAATTCTTGGCTCCCAAAAAGTCAAGAATAATGAATTTTCACCCAAAGAAGATCTAAATAGTTAAAAGCTATTCACCTATTGAACATTCCAAAATCTCGGTCAACCTTCTTATAGTCATCTTTAACTCTGAAACAATACCTAACACATCCACATCTTTCTTTTGGAGATAGTTCATTTTTTGGAGGATGTTTGGGTTGGGTCATTATCTTGGAAGATGGGTCTTTTGTTGCATCTATGTGCCATTCTTCTCATCATTCGTACCCCTGGGATTTTGGTTTTCGTAGGCATCTTGATAATAGAGATACCATGGAATTGGTTTCACTTTTCTCTTTGGTTATTGATTTTAGTTTTTTTCCGGAGTTAAAGTGCTAAAAGAAAGTGAATATTGGAGTCATTCGGGGTTGTCTTATGCAAATTTTTTTATTCGATAATCTGGTTGATGATCCCTCATATTCTATAATTCCCTCACCTATGATGAAATGGAAGTCCAAAGTGCCCACGGATGTGCAATTTTGTGTATGGACTATAGCTCACGGTAAGATTAATACTAATAATTTGTGTGATGTGTAGAGGTGGTAATGAGAGCATTGACCATCTCTTTTTGCATTGCCTAATTGCTTTGTTTCTATCGTATGCCTGCCAGGTTTGAGTTGGGTGATTATTGAGACATGCTCCTCTATGTTTGTGGAGGAATTGGCAGGATTAGGAAAGCATTAAAGGGGATTGACCCTGTGGAATTGTGCAATTTTAGCCATTAGTTGGGTGATTTTGTCGGAGAGAAATACTAGAACATTTGGGGATAGAGAAGAGTGGAAGGAAGGATTATGGGATGAAATTTGTTTTTTGGCTTTGTTGTGGGCCTCAATGTTCAAGGAATTTCGTGGCATTCCACTCTTTAGCATTTTGGCGGATTGGATAACCTCATGTGTAGCTTAGTTGTTGATATTTGAGTTTATTTTTTTTTCTTTTTGGATGGATGCCTTGTCCAACCATTTTTTGTAATGCTTTTCATATAAATCAATAAAATCATTTTGTTTCCTATCAATTTTTTTTTGGTTGCATCCCCTGAAGCAAAGACTATTGTCATCATCAAATTGCAAATGTGATACATAGGTACTCTTAACTTTAGTTAGAATAGTTTCAACGACATCTTGATGCTTGGACTTAAATACCAACCTGTAAACTTTCCAATGTTGTTGTTATAAACTAGAATAATTATAGTGCATTAATCAAGACATTGATACACCCCAAGTTACTAAATAGGCTGTACTCTAACTCCTGCCAGGCTACATAAGTTATCATTCATAAATTATCTTAAAATCTTTTACAATAAGTTATCAATTTCCCTTTTCTCTTGGTACATGCAACGTTGCATATATATATGGATGATCATGATAACACATACAGAAACAACCATCTGTGTTTAATTGTTTCTATAATTGAAAAGCATATATTCTGGGATAGAATATAAAGGATATGTTAAATTTGCTCTGCAGTTTAAGTAACATATTTATGAAATAATGCTAATATAAAACCTATTACTGCTACATCTGCTCCAGCTTGATTCTAACTTGTTGCAGACTTATTATCATGAGACTTTAAAGTTGGCACCATATTCACTCCAGCGATTGTAACTTAAATATTTGACAAATTTAGGGAGATGAAGATGAGGATGGAGATGAGAGATGGGATCTGGAATCTGACATGGAAGTTGATGATGAGCGGTATTTGTTTTTAATTTCTACTCATTTTTTTAAAATTTTCATGTGCCCTTGAGTTTGCATTTTTCTATTTTTGTTTCATACAGTAAACATCTACCAGTCAGAGTGAAAAGAGAAATGACCGAACCAGAGCCTAGAGATCCGGTACAATCTAAATTTTATGTCTTTCATTTTATTGTATCATGTTACATCAACTTCTATGATTTATGCTAGTATACGAATATATGAATTTATTTTTGGTTAAAGTTCATTAGATGTTCACATGAATTGTGCTACTACTAGTTGTATTTGAAATTCAAATGTGGGGAACTGATATAATATATTGAGAATTTAATTGAGTTCCAGTTTTATTCTTTTCTTCTCTTTTCATTTGAGATGGAACGTGCAAGGGCAGACAAGTCCTTAATTCAGAGACCTGGCCTAGTCTGAGTTGAATCAGCCCTAGGGGTGAAGCCTCTCGGGAGTTTAGGCAAAAATTTTAGATTCTTCTTCATCATTAGCTACTCTAGGATCACATTGTGTTATTGTAATTACGAGCAGCCTGTTGTTGCTGTAATTATTCCAAGAAGCTTTGATTTGGTAGCCCCCAAAGTTTCCCGCGTCTTTAGATTTAATAAAATGAAAACCCCTTTAGAATTTGCTGTCCTACGGTTTCAGTAGTTACTGAAAAAAAAAGTTTCAATAGTTTATTTTCTGAAAATCTAAACCTTACTTTTATAAATGTTTCATCATCTTCTGCATGCCACAGTTATTTAGTTGCCATATCACCATACCATACAAAATCAGATGGCAAAGTTGAATGAACAATGGAGTGTATGCTTTGCTACTTGTGACTTAATATTGCAAAGAACAACATTATTTCTCGTAATTAAACTGTTCATTACCGAGAAGAGACTAGAAGCAGACAATAATGACGAGGGTGAGTCCATTATTTCTGCTGTGACTGTTTTGGAACACCAGAGAATGAACCAATGCATCTTGAACAACATAAACCAGCATACCCTAGTGGCAATGCTTCTGCTGGTGTATTGAATCAGGAGTCACTACCTCAACACTAAATGAAACTAGTCCGGCTAGATAAAAGCCTTGGCTAATCTAATCCCCCACTAAGTTTGATCGTCTACACCCTCTCACTGGGTATGATCTAGAAACAATGAGTCAGTCAGTTGATAACTGCAAGAAGAAGGTTGAGAAGATTGCCTCAACTTTCTAATTTCCTGCTGCTTCAAGGATTTACTTAACCCCCAAATATTCCAAGAACTAAAATTTTGCATTTGGATTGCGGTTTTCTAGAGTAGAGGTGCTCAGCCACCTGTCTCTTAGGCATAGTAGAGTCCAGAGTCCAAAGTGTTAATACGGTACAACTACAGAATCTGTTTTTAAACAATGAAAATATTTTGGCTACTACGACAGCAATTCTTTGGGCTATTTATCAAAAAAAAAACCTCGAAGGCATAATTTGGATTGGGTGGAATCCCAGTATGTTGAGAGTGAACAAAATTGCAGAAACAGACTGTAAAGTGAGTTTCTTAACTTGAATGTGGCCCTTGGGATTTCAATGCAGTAGGAACGCTGGGAAAACTTTGGGTTGCTCAAGCAGATGGTGCTAATCCACGGAAGTTTTGAAGTTTTTGGCAACTGCTTGTAAGAGTCTGAACTAGTCAACTTATGGTACTTTGGATGCTTTTACACAAGGGCAGGAAGAGAGGCAGCTACTAGCAGTGGCTGGAAATGGGGAAATGTTTATTAACACCAACGGATATCTTTTTGGATTTTCCCAAACTTCAGGCTGAGACAAGGAGACCCTCTGCCTTCTTAGTTTATTGTACTGGTCATGGTAATACTCACATTAATCACTTTGCAGCACATAAATTCCTGTTGACTGTTCAAGTATTAGTGGAGTTTATGGAACTCAAACTTTGTCGACTTACTTTTGCTGATGATTGCTCTTATGTGATGGAGACTTGAGTGCTGCTAGTGTTTTGAAAGAGGCTTTGGAGTACTTCCAGCTACTTAGCTAGTGCGTTGAGCAAGTTTGTTTGTTGTGAGGCTATCAGATAAGAGAATTCCCTCTTTCAGTTTTGCTCACCCTACTTCTAAGGATAGATAATTTAGGTGAAGCAAGTGCTGTGATGAGATCTGTATTTCGGCTTGGTCGAGGACACCATTACCTTGTTGCTCGCATCGTGATCGATGTAGTCCGCATCGAGAAAACTGAAGCACAGGTCAAGAATTGGACAAATAAGTTCTTATTGAATGTTTCTAGACTTCAGTAGATAATCTTTGTACTTGCGGCATCCAAATCTTTTGGGCTAACAAGTTCTGGATAAGACTCTACATATTATGATTGTCTTTCCATAAGAAGGCACTCATAAGAGGGAAAGAGGCCTAAGGAATGGAGTACTGCTCTCATGCTCAGCCATCTCTGGCATCTTTTCAATGATAAGTAGAACTTACACAATGGATGCATACATATCACCTGAAGGACTAAAGTTTATGGGAGGTTTAAGCTTCACAAACTAGCTCATGAAACTGACCAATACCCCTCATGGAAATAGAAACAACCAGGTCACTCTTAGTTCATATGATTCATAATGGGGAGCAAACAAATGTATAGCATGCTCACTGGCAACCAGTGGTCCTCTTATTCCTGAGATGGAACCAAAGGATCATCCTTGTTTCTGGACTCCCCTAGGAGACAGGTTGGTAGCATTATATCCAACAATCAGTGGCATTGACTTGTGCCACCTCTGCCGAATTGCTGGAAATCACAAACTCTATGCCAACTAGTTCCCAATCAACTCAGGGAGGACATAGTTAAATTGGCTGACAAATCCAAATGGCTAGTTCTCATCAATTGTGCCCTTGTTTAAGCTGGTTTAGGTCAGCCAATCCATGCCTAGAATGAGTATCATTCTTTTGGCTTGCAACCAGATTAAGACTTACAACTAAAGGTAGACTCTAATCATATGTTACTCATATGAAATGAAACAGTAGTGTATGCAGATAAGTGTTCTTTGAGTGTACTTGCACGGACTCTGGAGTAAACTCATGCTGCTAAGTGGCTGCGGAGTCAATTTAGTTCTTGGCCTGAATTCATCACCTGTGTGCCACAACAGTGAAAGGGAAAAACAATGGTGGTTGGACGCTACAAGTTAAGTCTGTCCACCACGATCTATTATCTATGAGGGAGAGTAGAAAAGTGTTCAACATTCAGTTTAAAGATTGCTTGTCTATTTTGAACTTTATTTTATAGACAATTAGATATAGGTTGTCTTCCTCACAGGTCCATAATTTCCCTCAGAACCAGCATCTACCAAAATATTGTCTGACTTGAGTTGTTGATACATGTCAGCAGTTTGTAGTTAACTCGGTGTTACTGTTTGAAATACCTTTTGGAGTATATATTTGGTACTCACCAATAAAAAGCAGAGAAACCCTTGAAAGACACTCTCATCTGTTCTTTGAGTGTATTACTTACAACGAATCTGAGATAAACTCATGCTGCCAAGTGGCCAGCGGAGTCAATTTAGTCCTTGGCCTGAATGTATCACCTCAGTGGCACAACACCGAATGCAAAAAAAGAGACGAGGTCGTCCTTGTCAGTTAGATATTCTTCGGGACATATTTAGCTCTTAATTATTTTTTGTTGTACTCCTCTACCCTCTATCTGCACATCCACATTAGGAGTTCCACTTCCAAATTCCTTCCTCCCTTGCGGCCCTAGGTTGGAAGGGGGTGGTGTTGGAAGATCCTTCTTTTGTTAGGTGTCCACCCCTCAAAGGGGATATTTCAGATCCACAAGGGCAGTGGGTGATTCTTTAAAGCTTGTATTTCAGTGGAGTGGTCGTTCCTTAGAGCTTATATTTCTTACTATTGGATTTATAGCTTGTGGCCCCCAGGAACCTTTAAATGTATGGTTGATTCTAGCTTTTTTGTCCTCAGGTGGATGAAAATGAAATCACAGATCATGCTAGAGGCACCAACATTGCATTGGAGGAGACTACATGCATAAAGGTAAATAAGCTGAATTGAAAAAAAAATGCATATGATCAGGAGAATAAACACCAGTGCAACCACTTGCATTGATGAAACCTTCAGTAACTTTTTGTAACATTGGTTCTTCCAAGTGAAAACATTAATTTTTGAACCTCCATGCATAAACAAATCTTTCAACACCAACAGTTCTTCTATGTATTTCTCAGGCCTCAGATGCGGGTCCAATGCTGATAGATGAACCAAGTGTGAAAATGGAACAAGAAAACGCGAACAAATCGTGATTAGCTTGCTGAAATGTGCCCAAATCTTGACTTTAAATTTGTTTGCATTACATTAACACGAATTTTCACGTGAGCTACTATGTGGATGTTGGCATAGGCATTGCATATTGGTACTCCCTTTTTGTTTGTGATAACACATTTGTCCTTGCATCCTCCCCTTACATATTAGATTATATTTGGGCCCGTTGGCATAGCCAGCGTATATCGCAATCAAATTATAGAGTGATTTGTAGGCTTAGTAGTCGAAAGTTGTATTGCTTTGTGGATTGTTTGCAGATTTCAAAGTACCTACTCATTTCTTCGATCACCAGTCAACAACCTGGTTTGGGATCCCTATTTGCAGCCCCTTGAGATTTTAAGGCAGATATATGCCTAATATAGAGTTTCACATAGCCTTTGGGAAGGTTTGGGGTGAAGGCATTCTCTGATAATTGATAGGCGAGACAATGAGAGGATGACTTGATGCCTTGAATTCACTCCTCTGTTGATTTCTCCTTCTGAATGCCTGTGCTCTGCCTTAACCATTCTTTCCAAAAAATACATAAACACTTCCAAACATAACAACCATTATAAACACATTTATCCAAAAGTGCTATAGCAAAGAAACCTTAATAATGTGTTTAGTAGGGTGAATGAATGGAAAAGATTTATCTAAAAGTGATCCAAAACGTAGGATTATTATATATTTTATATATGGGAGGGATGAAAAGTAATTAAGATTAATTTAGATAAAAAAGTGAAAGGAAGGAAGAAGTATATACATATATTTTACTATTGTATTTATATATGAAATAAGTGTGCATAATATATAATAAATAAATAGGATACATGCGAGATATAAATGTAAACAATATGCATATCTTACTTTTTTTTTTTTTTTTCACCTATTTTTAGAGGAATAGATTTTAGTGAGTTGAAAGATGACTAATTTTTTCACTTTTTTATTCTTCTCATTTTCTTTCTTTATCAAAACATGACTGTTTTGTTTTTTTTTTAACTGTTCATATTTTTCTTCATTCGTATCGATTTTTCATTATACTAAATAAAACATAAAGAATAACTATTGGGATTTATCTCCAAGTATGCCCCACGGAGGAATACAAGTGGGTGTTCGAAACTTCATTGTACTTTTCTTGTAGTCACTTACTCTATTACCTGTAGGTTTTTTCCCTTAAAAAGTTAAGTCTTATTTTTCATAAAAAAAACCTTACGTAATATCAATTTCTATAGGGACTATAAAGGTCCATTTAAAATAAATTGTGCAGCATGATTCAAGACAATAGGGAATCAAATGCTTTATTCCAATGTTTCACCTTTCTATGAACATAAATCATGCATTTGCTCATAATTTTTAGATTATTTTTAAATAAAAAGTAAAATAATTGCTACTGATTGTATGTGATATTTTGACAAATTATATGAATGCACTATTTTGACTTAAATTTGTTTATCAATTTACTCGATGAATAAATATGTATTTGATTTTTGATCATCAAGTCGTATTAGTGATTTATATGGTTTGTCATGCAATACCATTATCATAATTAAAACCTAGTTGAAAAAAGAGAAATGTTGATAAAATAAGACTTCACGCTTTTGCCCATTGTTTTTTTAACGGTAGTAGAAAGAGGACTCGACCAAAACATGAGCAAACCTTGGAAGATAGGGTTGGGATGTTGCAATTGAAGCTTAACAAACTTTAAGCGTGTAAAATAAACTTCACCCTAAATATTATACCACAATATAAAAAGGACATTCATAAATATGTGAGTGCAGGATCAATGAGAAATCCCGAGGCCAAAGGAGCTCTGCTTGAGACAAATATCCCAGACAGGTAGCAGTATCCCTCATCAGTCAGATAACCACTTAAATGTCTTTCCTTTTCAGAATTAATAAGTGTTATTCTACCGTCCCAAAATTTGGGATTTATTTTTTAATAAAATTCGGACAAAACCTCCTTTATACGGAGAAAATCACCCAACACACAACCTATGTCTATAATGTCATTATGACTATTCCAAGGTCCAACATCAATATCCAAGAAATTCATACATTGAATATCCATCATCATACAACATACATCCAATCCCAAAACAATGTGTCTATAAAGTCTCAATTACATGTTTTTTGTTCAAAAAGAATATACAAATTTTGTTTTACAAAATGTACAAAGCTAAGTAAATACAAGGGTAAATTGTAAGGGGTACACCAAATTAGACTTATTTGGTAAAAAAATATACACTAAAAAATGTAGAGTTATTAAGTACTTAATTTTGATACTTATTTGTATCAAAGTACATAATTTGAATTCATATATTTTTATTGTGATATTTTTGTCCTCCATTAATCTATGTGTATTTAATGAACCACTTTTCTTTGAAAAGTGGTGCATTAAACATCTTCTAGTTTTATGGGAGAACTTTAATACACACACACACACATATATATATATACTTGTTAAATCTTTTATTTATATTTTGAATTATCTTTTAATGTGCCTTGATTCATGCATTTTTTTTTTAGAAAGTGATTTTATTTTTTAATTAATTTAATATCCGAATAGTGTAATAGTGTAACAATAAAAGTGTAAAAATGTAACACTAACAATGTAACCGTATAACAATAATAGTGTAACAAACAATTTACACAAAATATTATACTATTACATTTTGTCAAATATATAGTTTCATATAATTTCATTCTAAAAAGTCATCCGTTTTAAATTTGTTACTATATACACAAAATTACTGAACACTATTTTTGTTATAATGTATTTGTTACACTGTCTTTGTTACAGTGTGTTTGTTATATTATTATTATTATACTGTTATTGTTATACTATTATATTATTCGAATATTAAATTAATTTTAAAATAAAATTATTTTTCAAAAAAAAAAAACGCTTGAATCAAAGTGCATTAAATATAATTTGAAAACAAAAATCACTTTTAAAAAAAAAAAATACGCATGAATCAATGTGCATTAAAGATAATTCAAAATTTAAACAAGAGATTTAACAATATATATATAAACAAGTATACACGTATATATAAATATATATATTTACATGTATTAACAAATACGCATGAATCAAATGTATATTAAATACATATTTATATGTATTTACAAACACACATGAATCAATGTGCATTAAAGATAAGATATTTTGAATTAAATGACCCTAAATATATCTCACAAACATCAACATGTTAAATATACCATGTGACATATAATAACATTCTACAATTATTACTAAGCATGTTACAAGTAATATCAATTCAAATAACACTTCAATATATTTTGACATTTCATCAAATACCTTCAAGGTATAAAATGTAAACATATAACATGCTCAATCATCCCAGGCACAACCAACATGTTCAACACACAAAATTAAATAAAATTAGACATGACATGCTCACCATTCCATTCAAACATCTCATTAGTCACACTAGTTACATGGTAGATATGTAAGTATTCTACATAACTCTATCCATACTATATACATTCTTGAAATTGTAAGTAATTCTAAATAGAATGAAACCCTCACCTTTGAAACGTAAACAAAAGAATCTCTAGAATACCCAAAGCATGCACCCAATGCAAGCTCTTCAAAGCCCTAGCCCTAGCCCTAACACCCTTGATTTCCAAAAATGATGGAAAATAATTGTTGTTGGTGTTGACGCATTTCTCTGGTTAAGTAGAACAACGTTAATTCTTGGTTGAAGATCCAATGGTTGAATCTTGAGATATGGAAGAAGGAAAAAGGAGCTTAAAAAATTCAAAGACTTTCACACTCTCTCTCTCACTCCAAAGCAGTTATTAGAATCGGACCGCACCAATTGAACCAGGACCTAAAATGGTCCAATTTTGTAGTTAGACTATATAAGAAAGCAAATCGTTTGAAAACCGCTGAACCAGCCAATCTATATATATATATAAAATAAAAATTGAGCCATTTTTGCCCTAAATCAGTCACAGATTCGCAGCTCAGTGTTAGGATTTCAGTAGTCTTTCTTCAATTTGTCCAATGGTCTTTGTCTTTCTTCGGTTTACCCAGTGGTCTTCGCCTTCTTTCGGTCCTCCTTTTTTCCAGTGACAAACAGGCAGCTCGGTCCAGCGGTTTTCGTCTTCCTTCGATGGTCCGATGGTCTTCCTTCTTTGGATCAAAATAACATTGAATTTAGCCAAGTCTCTCTCTCTCTCTCTCTCTCTCTCTCTCTCTCACACACACACACACACACACACGCGCATACACACACAGTCACCGACTCAATGTTATGGTTTATATAGCTCTTATGTTTTATAATTTTTATAATAATCAAAATAGTAACCATTAACTAATAATACTTAATGTAAAAAAAAAAAAACCTAATAATACTTCTATTTATAATTTTATTAGTTAAATTATTATATTTTATAATTTTTATTTATTTTTTTATTATAAAATCATTGATCCGATCCCTTTATCGGTTTGATGACCGATCTGATTCTGATAACATTACTCCAAAGTCTTCCACCTTTTTTGCCCTTTTATACTTGATCTAGAATATGCCACATGTCACTTTTCTATTAGTTAAAAATCCCCCCCAAGCCAATCACAACTCATCATGGGTCAAAGTGGATAAAATTTATTGGATGACCTTTTTAATTGTATTGTAGGTCTCCCGAATAGATCTCCATTGTCAAAATTTTAATCACGCAGCACCTGATTGCACGTTGTACCTTGTTTCATGTAAAAATTTGATTAGCTAACTCGATTTTGCAATACGAATCCAATGATAAAGTCCATTTCGTCATCCAAATTATTTAAAAATTTAAATTTTTAACCCGCACTAAACCGACTTAATTACCGTATTACCCTTTGAATTAAGATTATCATTAACCGCCATAATTTACACCAATCAGAGGGGAAAAGGAAAACCCACCACCCCATTCCAAGATGGCATTAGCAGACCACCAGATTCTTTCCTAATGCAACTTGCCCAACAAGATTGCAGCTAGTATTGCCTAGGGCTCGCCCTATAGATGCTCATCCACTATCAAATGCAAACCCATATTCAAGTTTCCAAAAACAAACCAACTTTATGATTTTTAATTGGTGAGTTGCTCAACATAATATGGCGAGATTGTGCACAAAAATAAATTTCATAGAATACTAAACCAGCTCTGCACTTGCCTGAATCAGTCTTCAGTATGTATTGAATATCAATTTACCTGTAGCCTCGTCATCCAGAGGAAACACGGTTCACCCTGCTGGATGATGTTGAGCTCTAAAGCAGCAATTGTAGGTGCCAGTGGAACCCTGCCAGATTGGATTGACTCTGGGATCACCAGAAAAAGATGGAAGAATTCATGTCGGCGATGCCAAGAACATGGTTTATGATAGCAAGGAGGACAAAAAACAGGTTCTTCATGCCGAATCAGTTCCTGGGTCTTTGTATTGTGGGAAACATCGGAGATATTCTTTGGTTGCCAAAGCTCTGTCTCATTAAATAATCATAACAAACAATAAAAAACTAGGGAGATAGTATGTGCATAAATACAATATTGACAGAAGGCGAGATGGTGGGCTATTGAGACATAACACAGAGCCCTAATTTTATTTTGGTATTGCATGCCATGACACCCACCTCTCTGGTAAATGAAATATTACTTATCTTGTAATGTTCCTCCAAATGTAAACCAAAAGAGGAAAAGAAAAACATGATGAATATTGCTTCAAAGCATGAAGATACAAATTAATTTTTATGTTGGCAAGTTCGATCGCCCTCTGGAGCGGAAAAAGATGCATAAAATTGACTCATAGGATGTTTATAATATCATATGTACCTAACCTGCTAGAAAGATAAATTGTCAACAGTCTTTTGCTTGGCTGGAAATGTCAATGGTTCTTTAGACCATTAAAGCGGTGGTTAGTTCCTTATGTAAATTAATGTTCTTTGCTGGGATTCTTCTACTACATCAGAAAGCATTTGAAATACAAAATCAGAAATAGCAGTACCCATTTTTGTGAGGAAGGTATTTGCTTCAAACGTTGTATTCCCCCATCTCAAACCACACCGACCAAACTTGGCTTAGGTTTCATGAACCAGGTTTAAGATCAGTTTGGGATGCAGGCATCATGTTGAACTCTGAGGATTCAACTTTCATTGGCCTTTACACTGGCACAAAATGCCTCAATTGCAAATCTATATCTGTTAACTAGTTTAGGGTGGCATTATGCAGGGTACAAGTTGAGATGAAGAACCTGCAAGCCAGAGTGATGCATTCTCTATCTAAAAGGCCAACTGGGAGGCCCCTGCGATCAGCAACATGCTCCGAGATGACTGGTAGTTGACTCATACCGCGTCTATTCATAATAATTTGAGCAGAAAGGAGATTCATGCTTGGGGTTACCGTCCATGACCCCTGATGCTTTTCACTATTTGAAGGATAAACTTCAGACACTATAAGCTCCTGCAATATGAGCAAAAGTTATCAACAGTATGGCAGAATACACTAAATTCCAAGGTTAATTGGTATTCAGAAATCTGAGATAATAAGTTTCGGTTGGTGCATAGATCATGACTCCAGCAACCCCCGTATATATTAAATTCAAGATCAACTGGCGTGCATACACTTCTGAGTTACTAAGTTTCAATTGGTCTTGTTTCTTCTTCTTTTATTTTCTTCTGTGATAAGACCGTTGTTCTTGGTTCGATTTGCACTCTGGTAATCCACTGATCTATTTCAATGGCTCGGCAAAAGTTCAATTTCCTTCTCTGTTCCTCTTCTCTCCTTGATTTGATCTTTGGTACTTTCAAACTCATCTTCTTTTTAACTAAACCAAACCAAGTTTTATGTCCCAATCATTTGAGATCGGCATATGAATCCTTCTTTACCATTCATTTTGATCATGCGCTATACGCTCATTTTAGTTAAGTATTTTTTATATTTTTTCTTATTATTTCGTTCAATGTCAATTTATCACTTTTTCGAACCGGTGCCTCTATCGGCTTACGTTCAACATGACCAAACCATCTTAATCGATTCTCTCTTAACTTATCCTCAATTGGAGCTACTCCTACCATTAACTGCATCCTGTTTCTTACACACTCAATTTCTACTAGACAGGGTCTTGGAAAGGTTAAAACTTTAAGAGAATGTTGAGCAACCTCAGGTCCTTTGCTTATTGCCTTTGCCAATTTGCTGAATTCGTGAATGTCTCCAATTGTCAGTAGACCAATCAGGAGACTGCTGCCATCAACTATTACTGCACAAGACTGCTTCTCTGCAAGCATGATAGCCACTGCATCTATTAGCAAAGTGCTCATACAGACAGTCACAAAATGTGTTCTCATGGCTTGTGAAACAAGAATCCTCTCTGCTAACCCTTTGGTATCATCATCTGTATCATCTAGACACAGTGAACTATCAAGTTCACAAAGGCTACTCGCATACAAAGCTTTTGCAGGAAGTGAATATGAGGAGGAAAGCAGACTTGGGTTGCAGGAAGATGTTTCAGGCTGTTGACTAGCATGGGAATCTCCCTCTCTCAGTTGCTTAGCAGTATCACTGTCCCTTCTCCCTGTGTGCCCAGACGTAATCCATGAAGACAATCCAACAGCTCCTAGAAGGGGCAGAACAATCCGATAGTCCTGTGTCAGTTCAAAGAGAAGCAAAACTGCAGTAAGAGGTACCTGACACACCCCAGCAAGAGTAGCAGCCATGCCAACCTGCACAAGAAACTCTTTCACAGTAAACTACAGAATAATGTTATAAAAGTTCACAAAGTTCAAATCATTAGAAAAATGTGATTTGAACTTATATGACCTAAGGCTGATTAAGGATATATCATGCTAAACTGATTTAATTAAGGGATCTTACTCGAGTGTGATCATTCATAGGTGCAAGGTATTTTACTTACTATATGAAATGGATAACTGCAGTAAATCCATCAGGCTTTCTTTACTCAGAGAGAAGTCCTAAGCTCTTTCTAAGTTTACTAATAATAATCGGAATCCACTTTCATAGCTGGCGCATCAATTGACAGAGACTTTGAAGCGGGATCAGAAGAAATTGGTCCTGGATTCTTTTCCAAGGTGGTGGATGGATCATGCTTTTGGGCTGAATCCAAAATAGAAGCAACAGATACAGCGAGGAACGAAGAGAGAATACAAGGTGATTGGGACATCTAATCCAAATGCAAAGACATTTCTCTTTTATGTAACAGTAGAACCCAACAATAAGAAACAATCATAAAAATAAAATAAATACATCATACATCAGTCCCCTCTACTTGCGAAAAACTCACCCAGTAGTGTCTATTACTTGAAACAACTTAGTACATAAATCCAGAAATCACCCTTTCTCTATGAAAAAACATCACACAATATTGTATTCTCAGAACCGCAAGGAAAATAGGAGAAAACCGAATATTGGTTGTTCCTTGGGTCATATGGCTTACAACCAAATCAATAAAAAAGACCAAGAAAACTTCCAGGAAGTAAAAACCAAGAAAACCCTAAGTTGACATTAAATAGGCAACTGATCACTCTAGAAATAAAATAAAATGTTCCTGATTAAATTCTGATTCTAACAAAAAAAATAATAAGCTACCCTACCTCAGAATAGGCCCAGGAATCAGTCATGGGTACGAAAAGACTACCTGATTATAAACCCATAGCATCATGGAGGATCAGCACATTGGATTCACAACCAGGCTAAACCAGAGAGGCAATACACCTAGGAAAAAAGCCAGCTTTATGCAAAGGTAAGAGTTTTCAAAACTCATAAGCTGGATCTTGAAGATACAAAAGACAAGTAACAATCAAATTAGGACATTTGTGCTTACATAATTAGAGGCATGATCCAAAACAAGCTGCATGACTTTTTAGAATTTCTACCCTAAAAAGTAATGACCCTGTCAGCAACTACTATACAAATCTTTAGCAAGTAGAAGCCAAGATGATTACATTCAGAGCACTACTCAAACTAATATCCACACACATGTTATTCTTAACTGAAATATGATACATCCATATAGAATGTGCATATGGACAAACTTGCAATGGGACCTCCAAATGATAGCGCTAGTCCAGTCTTATGATAATACTACAATCACTCTAAGCACTATATGAATAACTATATATCATTTAACAATACAAAAGATATTGCAAACATCTAAAATGTGAGGCACATGAATTTAGAGAGCAAGGGAACATGGAACTCATAAAATAACCCAAACCCAGGAATTGAAATGTACATATCTCTGCGATGCGTAAATTTGAAATCAAACTATCTTCATTTTCCAACAAAAGGGTAGATTTATACCAGCCCATATGCTTGGGGTGATGCAACTTCCAAAAAGGAGATATCAAAGATTGGATGGGGTTGAGAAACAGCAAAACTGACAGCTTTCCCATATGCCATTCCCGTAGCTGCACCAATAAACAGAGATGGGGCATAGTAGCCTCCCACTAACCCAGAGGCCCGACATAAAGAAGTTGCTACTATTTTGACTGCCACCAGCTGGAGCAATAGATCAGCAGAGAGGCCTTTCAAAAAAGGGCGAGATTCTAACAAAATGTCAACATTCTCAAAACCCCAGTAAAGAATTTCAGGATATGCCAAGGCTATGAGCCCAACAGCTAAACCACCCAATACAGGACAAGCAGCCTTTGGCATGCCAATGATCTTCTGGACATTGCCCACAGCTACCAGCATAAAGGTTGTGCATCTAGATAAGGTCAAAGAAACCAGCCCACACAGGATACCCAGCAAAAGATACAGCGGAAGTTCTGAAATAAGTGAAAAGGCTTCAGCACCACAAACCTTATCTACCAAACAAAGCTTAAAATAAATAATTCTGGCTTTTCATGACAAACAAGAACAAGAACACGAACCGAAACAACAACAATAATTAAAGAATTCCCTAACTCATGGCAGGTAATCACAATCAAATGATTTCGAGTAACATGGTAAAGGTAACATTTCTTCTAATCACAAAACATTTTCCAAAATTAATTCTAATTCTGAACTTGACTGACCAAATTGAAAAATAAAGAGTTTAACATCCACCTCATCAAGAAGCTTATTATGTATTCCTTTATAGTTCATTTTCATTGACACCTTCTGGAAGAACCATTCACAGAAGTTCAAATTTAGGTGAAGGAAGTATAATCAGTCTAAGTATTAAATTTTGATATCAAAAAGAATTAAGATGATGAGAAAATTCTTATAAGAAGGGAGTGGGGAAGGGAAATAGGATCACTTAGTCAATCGGGAAATGGCAGCTCGGGTGGTGTTTGATAAAACTAAAAACTGAAGTCTGAAAGCTGAAAGCTGAATGCTGAATTTGTGAACTGTTTGGTATCCACTGAAATTTAAGTACTGAATTGAACTAAACTGTTTGATAACTACACAGAGCTGACGTCTGAAAATAAATTAATTTTCAGTTTTACCCATCCACTCTTTAATGTGAAATTATTTATAAAATATGTCATAACATAAAACATAATCACTATTATTATATTGTAGTCTATATTTAACAAATATTTGATCAAAATAAATAAATAAATAACATCTGAATAACACAATAAGTGAACAATAACAAATTGAATAACATAATAAGTGAAGAATAACATCTGAAAAAAAAAACAATAACTAATAAATAATCATATAATATTGAAAAAATACAATAAATTATATTTCATTAACAATATGTGTGTGTGTACAGTCAATGTGTGTAATTATTAGGAGTGTCAAACGTGTCGAGTTAAACGGTTACGTGTCGGATTAAACGGGTAACGAGTGAAAAATATGTAAACCCATACACGACACATTTATTAAACGGATAAAAAAAAGAAATACGAACACGAACCGTTTAATAAACGGATAATACAACACGATTCGTTTAACACGTCTAATTTTAATCGAGTCGGGTCGGGTTAACACGATAAACCACTCATTTGACCTATTTACCTGTTTATCATCCGTTTGACCCATTTAACACGATAATTCTAGCAACACCAGAAAGTTTCCCATCAATCACAAGGACTCAAGGTCTACACCCAAAATGAAATTGAAGCAATAGGGAAGCCATGAAAAAAGATCTTGCAAGAAAGATAACGAAATGGTTCTTTGGTTCGAAGTTGATGACACAAGTTGTGGTATGAACCTTAGCGTTTAGTAAAGTTATACAAAAACACATTTTAACTTACTGTATTGTTTCATATTTAGCTTCCAAGCACTTCAATTTATCTTTCTTTTTAACTTATTTCTTTTCTGTAGGTATTGATCCAACCAAATGGGAATTTGTGTTTGAAAGCTTTGAGCAAGCTGATCCTTCAACAACTTGATTGTAAGCTATTTAATATTTATACAACTTAAAAAACAAAGGCATGGCACAACACTGAAATAATAGATCTAATACACTTAAAAAACAGAGGCATGAGCCGATCATTTTAATATCTAATACCGATCTAATATAAATCTAATACACTTACCGATCTAACACTGAAATACCGATATAATACCTGCTCGCAGCTCGCTGTGTGAGAGAGAGAGAGGAGTAGAAGAGTGGAGGCTAGGGGTGCAACTTGGGTTGGGCAACCCGATTTCAACCCGAGTTTAACCCAAAAAAATTAGAGCTTAGACAAGGATTTTTAATACTTGGGTTGGGTTTGGGTCAAAAAATCCCAACCCAAATTCAATTTGGGTTGGGCTCGGGTTAAGGTTAAGGCTTCGTGAACCCGAGTTCAACCCGAACCCAACAAATTAAAAAAAAAATTATATATATATATATATTATATATAAAACATTAGCATTGATTTTTCATTTTTGTTCTATCGTTATCTGTCTCTCTCATTCTCTTTGCCTCTCTAGTTCTCTCAGCTTCTCTCGTTAAAAACTTGGTTGAAGTTATTGGTTGTTAATTTAGGTGAATATTATGTAATATATGTATTAGGTTTAGAACAACAAGCCTATTTTGGACTCTACCCAAATTGAACCCGTAAAGTAGACCGAAATCATCAATCCAAATTCAACCCGAGCCCGCCCAAATTAAACTCGGACAGTGCTCGGGTTGAGCTCCCTAACCCGAGGTAGGGTTAGGGTTAGGGTTAGAGTTAGGATTAGGATTGAAGATTATGTACCTAGGGTTGATTGTCCAACTCGGCCGAGTTGCACCCCTAGTGGAGGCTGGAGTGCCTGGAGGCGCAACACCAAAGCTTCAGGTTCAACGTAGATGAAATCATGGAATTAGATTAGGGTTAGGAAAAAATATCTTTATATATTTTTTGTGTAGCTGTCATTAAAAAAAAATCTGGTTAATTTTTTTTAAATAATTATTAATTTATTATTATATTAATTTTATTTAAACGGGTTATAAAGGGTTGATATGTCTCACCCGAACACAACCCGTTTATTAAACGTGTTAAACTGGTCAACCCGTTTATCACCCGAACCCATTAAGGTCTCATCCAAACTCGCTTAATCCATGTCGATTCATGTCGGTTAATCATGTTTGTGTGTAATTGTGTGTGTGCAATGCGTGCGTTTGTGTGTAATTATAATTATGTATGTATATTTTTGTTACAAAAGATAAGGGAAAAAAAAAAAATCGACAAGAAAAATATATAAGTTAGGGGTTTTAAAGAGAAGACTAATTAGAGTTTTAATAGAATTGTAAAATATTTCGGGGTATAATTGTCATATTATAAATATTATTAAAGATGGTTTTGCTGAACGCTTTCAGCTTTCAGAATTAAGTAAGGAATCTCCTACTTAATATTGTAGTCTATTTTTAAGGAACACTTAAGATATTAAGAGAGTTTAAATTTTGGTTATTAAACGGACTTAATTAATAAGTGTTGAATTTGGGTTAACAAACACACCCTCGGTCTAAGTCTAAAGGGGGTTTTGCACTCGAAAATATTATTGCCAAATCATTACTTTATTAGGTAAATGGTTGGAGATTCCCGGTTAAATGTAATTCCTTGAAGTAAGCGGTCAGTAAGTGTGGGATTCAGGATAAGGGACGAGATTCACAGATGGTTGGTTGGGGGGTTTCTTGGAGTCCGTTGAATCTATTTCTCAAGGGTTGTCTTGCTTTTCTATATTGTTAAAATTCAAAATGAGTGTAGTGGAAAGTACATTCAATTTTGGGAAGATACGTGAAGAACTGATTGTCCTTTTTCATCCTTACTTCCAAGACTTTATCAATTCTCTAGGTCTCATAATGTTCTAATTGCTTCCATTTAATCATCCCATTAAATGAAAATGTAATTTTTCTTTATGAACTTGAATGATTGAGAGATGGTCGGCTTTTCATCTCTTTTTTCGTTTATAGATGGAGTCACCTTGAACCAATCACAGATTGATAGTCAAGTTTGGTTTCATTGATAGTCGGGTTTGGTCTTCTTCTATATTTGGGCCCTTCCCTTGTAAATTGATTTTGAACTCCTCGTTGATGATTCCAGCTATTCTTAGTTTACACCTTCGAATTTAATTTGAAAAGCTATAAGTGCCTTTAAAAGTTCAAGCTTTCTCCTGGGTCATTCCTTATACGAAAATCAATACTAATGATTTGTTGCAGCTGAGGAGACCTCACTGTTTTTGTTGCCTCGTTGGTGCATTATGTGTAAAAGAGTCAGGAGGACATCGATTATGCTTTCGCCCAAATGCCCAAATCTATTGGCCTTTTCAATCAGGAAGAGGTGATTCTCATTTGCGGGGATGAGGTTGGTGGGTGACTCCTTTACCTTGTGTTTCAATATTTGTCATTGACTTTTGGGGTTTTGGTAAGAATAAGAAAGCTCAAACACGTTATAGTCCTTACACGCTACAATAGGACGCTTATATCCGTTGCTTGTATTCTTCTTACCTTTCTCTTTGATTTGCTTCCTTTGGAATTTAAGCTTAGCCATCTCTTCCAGTGTTCTGTGCCCTTGTCGTTCACTCTTCCTCGTGATTAGATGCTTGGGTGCTGATTTGGCCTAGGGAAGAAGCTCCGGAGGTGCCCAGCCCCCTTTGGTGCAGTTTGACGTGTTTTTGGGTACCAGTACTGCCGGAACTGCCTCTGGCCTCACTGACTATTCTGGTTTGTCTTCTCCTTTTTTTGCTGCTGAGTTCTCTGTGATTTTGTGCTACTGTTGGGTTCACTGGGTGATTGGATTGGTTGTGGTTTCATTGGATGATTTTTTTTGCTACTGTTGGTTTGGTTGTGGTTTCATTGGGTGATTCTCTATGGTTTTCTGCTACTGTTGGGTTCACTAGGTGATTGGTTTGGTTGTGGTTTCAGTGGGTGATTGTTGTTTTGTTGTTGTGGTTCCACTATGGTATTGTGGTGTCTCCGGTATCTCTTCAGATTTCTTATTTTTTGTCTAGTTGGTTTTGGAGTTTACGATTGCTACATCTACAGATCAAAAGGATACACCAGTGGATAGCTCTATTCGACATGTCTATTCCAGGGATGACCAGGTTGGTAGATTACTTCTGGGAAGTTAAATGGAACCAACTATCATTCTTGGTCTCATGCTATTAAGGTGTTTTTGCGAGCTAAAAAGAAAGTTTAAGTATTTGACTGAGAGTTCTCTTGCTGAGAAATCCACGGGTGAAGAAGAGTGGTAGAGTGAAAATTCCTTGGTGATGACCAGATTATGGCTCAGTATGGAACCATTAATGGCTTCTAATGTCCAACTTCTTGATTCTGCTAGGAAGATTTG